AAGGTTTGCACTAACTTAGTTCTTAATACTGAAATAGGTAGATATAGCTTACAAATTACAAGAATCCTGAGGGTTCGTTAACAAAAAAAAATTTTGTTGTGTGGTTCATTGTTCCAATTAACAAAAAAAATCAAAAAGTGGTTTTTAACCACTGTCTCCGAAGTATTGGACAAAAGTTATAGTGTTCCTCTCTGGGATGCCTTTAAAATTTATGTTTCTTTACGCATACAGTCTTAGGATTATTCCACGAAAGTCGCAATGAATAGTGACAATTACACGTGTTACGCAATTACCAAAATTACCACTATGGTCGGCATTTTCACCAGGGGATTGTAAATACCCTTTATTGGCTTTATTTTAAGTAAACATACACGCACTCAACTTAAGGCAAAATAGTCGTATACCTAACGGAAATTGTATAATGATGTAGGTACGTTTTATAGCGTACGAACTCTTTTCATTGGGTACGTTCAACCAAAGATCATTGGTTCAACCGACGCAACTATTGACTGACATCGTAAACATGTTTAGTAGTAAACGTCAACACATGCCTGAACGGTTATGTTGACACCGCATTTTATCATCTTGTAATTTGTATCTTAACCTTATATTTTTCGTGCTGACAAAAATCGATATTGTTGTGCAAGAATTGTATGAAGATGATATAAACTGGAATGTTATTCAAGTGGCGCCAGTTGAAAAACATAAAATAAAATGAAAACATAACATGTTAGTTAGGTTATGATATTACGCCAAATTTATGGTGCCAATTATTACCAACTGTTGACTTCCACCAGAAGTCACCATTCATCGTTCAGGGAAGTCGACAACGTCTCAACATACTCATTCAACAGTTGTGTCGGCTGAACGTACCCATTCTCTCATGCGCTCTACATTGCTTAGATTACTACAACTTATCTCCGTAAATGTAGTAAAGTTTTCAACAAAAAGAACCACAAGTTGGTACCATGCGATCAAAAATGAGTTGCTGTCGAGTCGCCTTTGGAATTTTTGTTTACATGGGAAATCGTACTTAACTTGAATTTCCAAAGGCGACTCGACATCAACTCATTTTTGATCGCCCGTTATAATATCCGAGAGATAACGACTACAAATTTTTCAATAGGATACCGTACCTTATATATGCAAAAATATATGCTTATCGAATTTAGTATTCGACACTGACGGTTTCGCTCGATGAGATTGTTTGATGTTTCACTATCATCTTTATTGTTATCTTTTCAATGTTTCTGTTTTACTTATATGCACTCTAATTTCCGCTTCAATTTTAAGAGAAAATATGTTCAGGGCTGTTGTATATAATTTGTAGGTATTTTTGATTGTTCTGGACCATTGACTATAGGTAATAGGCGCGCCATTTCTCCAGTAGTGTCCCTGTTTTAAAGTTAACTATGCACAACACAGTGTCGTTAAGGATGTCTATCATGGGGATCTCGGAAACCGTAGAAGATACAACGATGGTGAAATTAGGGAAAAGTTGCGCAATTAAACAGTTATTATCATGCTTTTAAGAGAACCGATTTGGTTTTTAGCGCATTTCCAAAAAATAAAAAAAAAATGCGCTATTGTGGCCACTTTGTCCGTCCGTCCGTCCGTCCGTCCGCTCGTTTTGCGACGCTACTAGTTCTTTATCTTAAGAGCTATTGTTCTACTTTTTCGCTATTTGGTTCGTTATGGTGTCGAGTCTTGTACCAAGGAAGGAATTTTTTCTGTACCGCTTACAAAAAAAATTATTGTAAAAAAAACAAAAACCGTTTTTTACATGTTCCATAAGTTTACACTTTTGCCGTTTATGAACGATCCTAGAGATCGTTTATAATTTTGCATTGCTATCTGTCGCCTGCCGGTTGGTCTGTCCGTCTGTTCCTTTGTCTGTCTGTCCATCTATCTGTCCGTGTGAACGATAACTTTGTTTAGAAATGTTCGATCGCTTTTACATCTCCGTTAGTTATGAACTGAATTGCATGAAATTCAATATGGGCATAGCTTTAGCCATATAATACGCAATGCCAAAAGTTGATCGAATCGATTCAAAATTCACAGTGCCCTTTTCGCATCTCGACCATTTATAAACCGAATTGCAAAATTTTTTACTTATAAAAGTATTTGAATGAAATTTGATACATAGGCACTTGGAATAAAGGAAAATCAAACGCCAATTTCAAAATTTGGTTTTGCGCATGCGCAGTGCCAACTTTTTATTTATGGAAGAATTTAAACGAAATTTGATACATAAGCACTTCGAATAAAGGAAAATCAAACGCCAATTTCAAAATTTGGTTTTGCGCATGCGCAGTGCCAACCTTTTTATTTATGGAAGAATTTAAACGAAATTTATCCATAGGCACTTGGGATAAAGGAAAATCAAACGCCAATTTCAAAATTTGGTTTTGCGCATGCGCAGTGCCAACTTTTTTTATTTATGGAAGAATTTAAACGAAATTTATCCATAGGCACTTGGGATAAAGGAAAATCAAACGCCAATTTCAAAATTTGGTTTGCGCATGCGCAGTGCCAACTTTTTTATTTATGGAAGAATTTAAATGAAATGTGATACATAGGCACTTGGAATAAAGGAAAATCTAGCGCCAGTTTCAAATTTTATTTTGCGCATGCGCCGTGCCAACTTTTTTATCTATGGAACTATTTAAGTGAAATTTGATACTTAGGCGCTTGGAACAAAGGAAAATCTTAGTTTATTAGTTAGTTATAGTAAATTTGTTTTAAAATTTAGGTTTACGCATGCGCAGTTCCAACTTTCTTATTTAGAAAAGCATTGAAATGAAATTCTTCTCATAAACTGAAATTGAAGTAGCACGTCAAAAATGGATTGCCCATGTGCAACGCTATCTTTCAAATTTGTGGCCGGATTTTTACGATTTTAACAGAAGTTGCATCTTACAAATGGAAAATGAATGCAAGTGGAAATGCGCTTTATGTAAATCGTTTACGATTACTTTTGAACTTGTTTAACTGTGCTAGGACGTGTAACTTTATTGGGTGGACCTGTCTTTGTAGGGCATGTTGCGTTTCTTGTATTTATGGCGTTTCTTTGTTCTTGAGGTTGTATTTGTGTTGTTGCTTGGATTATTGGTGGAGACATTACGGTATTTTGTGAGCCTCTAGGGCTGTTAAGGTTGCTGCGTTTGGGTTGAGTACGAGTGGGTTGTGATAACGTGGTGTGTTTCTGAGAAGAAAGAGTATTGTGTTTTTAGCGCATTTCCACAAAAATAAAAAAAAATGCGCTATTGTGGCCACTTTGTCCGTCCGTCCGTCCGTCCGTCCGCTACTTTTGCGACGCTACTAGTTCTTTATCTTAAGAGCTATTGTTCTACTTTTTTCGCTATTTGGTTCGTTATGGTGTCGAGGCTTGCACCAAGGAAGGAATTTTTTCTGCGTTTATTGCTAAAAAAAGTTATTGTAAAAAAACCAACAAACCGTTTTTTACATGTTCCATAATTTTACACTTTTGCCGTTTATTAACCATCCTAGAGATCATTTATAATTTTGTATTGTTGTCTGTCGTCTGTCTGTTGGTCTGTCCGTCTGTTCCTGTGCCTGTCTGTCCCTCTATCTGTCCGTGTGAACGATAATTTTGTTTAGAAATGTCCGATCGCTTTTACATCTCCGGTAGTTATGAACTGAATTGCATGAAATTCAATATGGGCATAGCCTTAGCCATATAATACGCAATGCCAAAAGTTGAGTCGAATCGATTCAAAATTCACAGTGCCTTTTTCGCATCTCGACCATTTATAAACCGAATTGCAAACTTTTTTTCTTATAAAAGTATTTGAATGAAATTTGATACATAGGCACTTGGAATAAAGGAAAATCAAACGCCAGTTTCAAAATTTGGTTTTGCGCATGCGCAGTGTCAACTTTTTTATTTATGGAAGAATTTAAACGAAATTTGATACATCGGCACTTGGAATAAAGGAAAATCTAACGCCAGTTTCAAAATTTGGTTTTGCGCATGCGCAGTGTCAACTTTTTTATTTATGGAAGCATTTGTGACCGGATTTTTACGATTTTAACAGAAGTTGCATCTTACAAATGGGAAATGAATGCAAGTGGAAATGCGCTTTATGTAAATCGTTTACGATTACTTTTTAACTTGTTTAGCTGTGCTAGGCCGTGTAACTTTATTGGGTGAGGGCGTCTTTGTAGTGCATGTTGCGTTACTTGTATTTATTGCGTTTGTTTGTTCAGGAAGTTGTGTTTGTGTGGTTGGTTGAGTTAAGGGTGGAGATATTACAGTATGTTGTGTGTCATGTTGTGAGTCTAAAGTGCTGTTTAGGCTTTTGCGTTTGGGTTGAATACTAATGGGTTGTGATAATGTGGTTTGCTTCAGAGGTGAATCTCTGATTGTAGTATATGTTGTATCATTTGTTGTACTTGTTTGTTCGGTAAGTTGTATTTGTGTGTTTGTTTGGGTTAGAGGTGGGGATATTACAGTATGTTGTGTACCGTGTTATTATTATTATTATTATTATTACATGAGACTTACCCATCAAAATTATTAGTCCATAAAACCATTCCTTAAGGGATTCATTAAAGTCCCTACTAAGTAGATCGGTAAAAATCATTACAGGATATCCTATGAAAACGAATAGGATAATTATTCTGGAGTATATTTTGTACAGCAAACTTTCGTGTGCTTCTAAAGAAATACCGCCGATCTTAAAAAACAGCCTCTCTTAAGTAAGGGCATTTGAAGACACAACCCTGTATGTAACCGAGTTTGTAAAGGTGGAGTTGTTTCACCCAATGATATGGATATAAATAACACAAAAAACAGGTGTGCAACTTTTTTTTATTACAATATAGAAATAACACATATCTGAGTAGGTATGCATCTACTCGTAACTATAGGTACAAATGTTTCTAAAAACATTAATAGTGGTGTCTAGTCTCTGAACAACCTAATAGAATGGGGAGTGCGGTCATACAAGCGAGCATAATATACTACAAGATCTTCATTTTGTGTTGACGGTTCTAAGCATCATGTATGCAGAGTACGTGGTACGGATCATCTACAAACTTCTCTAGAAATTATTAGCAAAAAATACTCAAAATCTTACCCAAAGAGCCGTGGCCATCGATGCCCCGATCATACGACCGGCTTTGATTCTTAAAGCTTCTTGACTTCTTTCGATTAATAAAATTAAGCTTCTTTGAAATCGCAGATCCGTACCGACAAAATCCATCTGGTAAGCTACTACTCCCACCTGCTCGCTATGGTACGCCAACTCTTCACCGTAATAACAAATAATCAGAATAGGAAAAAATACTGTTAGTGATTCCATCATTATTACCGGTAGTTCCATGTCAGCTGTGCTTAACTAAAAATCAAATATTCGTAGTGGGTTTTTAGATTTGAGTAACCTAAGTACCAGTGATGCTCTATAAATATCAATGCACAAGAAACTTAAGGTGAATATAAAAAATAAGAAAAATACACCATGAAGAATGTTTTCAATCTCTTTCCCTGTGTCGATAATATCTAAATGATACTTAATGGCATCAGTTAGACGTTTGTTTAAATATATCCAAGATGGACACTCGTGAGCATTGGACATATCCTAAAAGTTAATGAAGGTGACAGCTTCAAAATACGATTCCCTTACTTGCTCCATTTCTTCCTTGGCAAGTTTAATTATGTTGTCTAGGTAACTTTGAAGCATTTTAAATTGAACAGTTAGAAAAGTCAAGCTTCCAACAATAACCATAAAAATTGCAACTACATCAAAGCAGACGATTATCACAGCCGCACTTTGGTAGAGCCACAAAGCTTCGAAATTTGGACTGACATGAATGTTAATTGAACTCATGGTGCCTAAAGGCAACAGCCAATCGTTAGGATCCGACTTTATGATACGCCAGACGATGCTGAACAAGATTTGACTGCCACAAATTACTAAGACTAGTATAACAAAGGTGTAGCTCTAGAACATTAACCTGCTGATTATCGTCAAACATTATGCTTGCCCCTCTCACGAGTCGCGTGGATATCGCTAACCAATCCTGCAGCATCTTCTTTTCTTCGTCATATCTTCCACGAGATTTGTTCGCATGAAACGACGACCTCTCAAACGCCATTAACGCCCTCTGATAGCTTTTCCGAATGCAGAAAATGTTAATTAAAATTGTACAATCTGAAAGGCACATAGTGCATTGATTTTTTTTAAATAAATACAGATTTTATATAGTGATTTCGCAAATCCAGTGGGAATGCATAGGTAACTTTGTTAATTAGCATAGTGAAGATTCGGCTAAGTGGGCAAAGGTTTGCAGTTTTGTCTTCTGAAACTCCGTTTAGAAAATTTGAAAATTGGGGTCGCAATATTCAGTTATTTAAATGAAAAGTGAAAAGCGCCCAGTTCCCACAAATTAAATATATCAGAAAAGTTATGATGCAAAGTTTAAGATGAGCTTTTTTTAATGAATGTACATACATTTATTTTAATTGAATTTTTGATTTAGGTATTGATAACATGAGACACTTTCATATTAAATTTTGTATATCTTCCATAGTAATAAAAATATCCATGCAATTTGGGATACATTCATTATGACATTTTTATTTCAATGATTATGACACAAAAATAAATCAACTAAACTAAACAGTTATAATAAGTTTTGATATACACCTTATTGTACCATGATATACACATTGAAACTTCGAAATTTTTCTTTTTTGACGCAGAAAATTTGTTTTTAACCCTGCCTGCGCAAACAGCAGTTTTGAAGTATCACAAATTAACAAAATCTCCTTTAATTCTTCATTTTTAGTAATGATTTTTAGCGCTTATACGGGGTGAGTTTTTCCGGTGTTTAGTATGGGGATCTCGTAAACCGTAAGAGATGCAAAGTCGCTTAAATAGGCAAAGAATCGCAGAATTTGATAATTAATTATCCTATTCATAATTTCTTGTAGCTCTACAAATAGCAAAGTTACGACCCAAAAACGGAAAATTGTAATCTTCGAAAATGCGCTGGCGTTCCTTTATTTTCAAAGATGTCAAAAAATACTTTTAACAAACTCTAAAGGTGGGTTCATAGCTCTCCGTTCATCCGTTGCGTTGATCCGTCAAACGGATAGTACGTTTTGTTAAGGTTCATAGCAATCCGTCCACATTGTACATTTGCAAGTATAACCATAACCTAAATTTTATTTTGTACTGTACCCTTCGTGATTTTCAGTATGTGAAAATGGTACGAAAGTAAGAACACATTGCTATCTGATTATTACCGTGAAGAACGAATAGGCGAACGCTGTTAACATACCAAACATAACCTCACTCTTGTTAAAAACGGACCAACGGAAACGTAAATGTTCAACTTCAACCAACTTTTCCGTCGTAAACGGACGACGTACGATTTAAAAATTTGCTGTCTTCTGATTGGCTAACGGATAAACGGAAACGTATGAACGGAGAGCTATGAACTTACCTTTAGTGCTTCTTTCCCAGCTTTTTGATGGTGCTAAAATAAAATTGTTATTACTTACGAGTTTAGTATCAACTTTCTTAGTTCTTATGGACGTCATATTGGATTTCTTTGTCATCCGATAGATAAAACAATTACAAAATCAACGATACTAAACAGTTTGTATTTCATTTGGGAATTAATCTTGTATTTTTGCCTCGAAGTTTACAATGTATTTCTTATGGCAATAATTCCATGGTCGTGTCGATACGAACAATAAACGAATGAATTTGGTTGCAATCACGTCCTCGATCACATCAGCCATGGAATTATTGCCGTAAGAAATTGGAGGCAAAAATGCAAGGTTGATTCCCAATTGAAATATGAAGTGTTTAGTATCGCTGATTTTGTAATTTTTTCTTTATCGAAAGACATAAAAATCCAATATGTTATCTATAAGAAATAAGAAAGTTGATGTAATTTACTCGAAACTCACAAGTGATAAAAATTTTATTATAGCACCATGAAAAAGCTACTAAGGGTTTGTTATAGTATATTACGCACCGAGTGCGAAAGTAGGTTATTTTTCGAAGAATTTTAATCACCCGAGGCGCGCAGCGCCGAGGGTGATTATATTCTAAGAAAAATAACCTTTCGTCGAGGTTCGTATACGATTTTATTCACGATCATCATTATAATCATTCCATTATCAAAAACAAAATAATTCACTAAATTTATACGTAGTATATTCAAAGGTATATTCATCTTATGCGCCATCTGCAATATGACTGCCCTACATAAAATGTTGTCGGTAATGCAGATTTGGAAATTTACCTAATTAATATTCATATTAATTTAACATGCAGGTTAAAAAATGGCCCATACTAAAGAATTTCAATGTACATCCCCTCAAATAAGGGAAATTGAGTATAGTAAAAAATTTACTCCCCGAATGAATTTTTGAAGAGAATGAACAATGGTGGGCAGGAAAGGGTATAGGTAAAACTTCATGTTTTACTTGCTTATTTTAATGAGGTAAAGGTAAAGAAATCATCCACATTATGAATGACCAAATGTTGTGATCCACATTCAAACCTAGGTAATGCCTAATGACCATGTCAGTTTTATTATTCTAAAATGTACCTACAGCGATCTTTTATGATTACAGATTTAGACTGGGTTACAATATTAGTATTATAATCTGTGTAGATGTCAATAACGAAAGATTTATTCTCCAGATCCAATCAGGTAGTCACTAAACACCTGTTCCAATACGATAGCCCTAAAAAATAGCATTATCTATTTCTAAAATGTGACAAATTACCTACGTTTAATTACCGGACATTGTTTTTGGCATCTCATCGCTACAATATTAGCAAGTGCTGGTGGAGTTCTTCAACTTAAAACAGTTCGGTGGCTGTAGATCGGCTGCAATAGCAGAAGGTTTCGTCGCCCATTCAGTGGCTCATTCGCTTTACGGGCACGCGAAAATAACAAAGTATGGCAGTATCCTCTTCAGGTAGTGCTACGACGTCTCCGATATGCAACATTATGATGCCATAAATTGCCATCCCTTGCTCTTCTCATGGGTCGCAAGCGCAACCCAATGTTTCCATGTCTTATGGACAAGAATTGAACTTTTCCACCCAGAAATTTAAACAGTAATGGGCTCTCTAAAGTAACAATCAATTTCATTAAACTCAAGTTCGAGTTTTATACACTTACCGATCCTTCAATAATTAACGGTTTCTTTTTGCTTTTGTTTTTACTTAACCATTTAGCACCGCGCTCGTTTAGTTTTAGGTTACGTGAAACAAACCATCATCTCCGTAATCTGGCTAAAGTTAATCACAACTCCTACTTGTGTTTACTTCGGTCCGCATTTACTTATTTCATATTTTCGCGTTTGGTCGTTCATTTGCAATTTACAAAAAAAAAGCACAGAGCTTAAAATAATCCATATTACTCATTATAAGAATAAGAATTGTTTTTAAAATGCGGTTTTGAACAATTTGCATCTAAATCAGCTGTCATCTGTGTCAGACAGTTACGATGAGAGCGCCATCCATTAGGATATTAGCAACTAAATCGAGGTAGGTAATGAAATATTACTAACCTCGAATCGAACATTACTAACCTCGAGAATCTACTTTCCTCCCTCCTGGAAAAATAAGTGTTGTAAAACACAACTTCTTTATCCTTCAAAATGACAATTATGAGACTGATTACAATATGATCGTGAATAAAATAGTTATTTGTGTACCAAGGCCGTAAAAGTGATCTTTTTTGGCCGAAGCTGCTGTTTGCGGCCGAGGCGGTAGCCGAGGCCGCAATTCAGATGAGGCCTAACAAATCACTTTTGGCCAAGGTGCACACAACATTTTTTAGGCGATCATCAAAAAAGAATTCAAAAATTTGCCCATAAACATATTTTTTTTGACTATTAAAAACAAAGCATTTTCTGTCGTATGTAATTATAATTAGCATCCTTGCGTGTGTTTTGTGCGTATAAAAATGGGTGATAGCGACAGTTCAGATACCCCAAATGAAATTTTGGAAGCTGTAAGCGTTACGACCCTAAGTCATATATGATCTAAGAGCAGGCGTTTGAGAGTAAAAGTACAATCGCAACTTCCTCCGTTGCACAAGATTTTAATAAGGTCAAATGCAATAGGTCCATCGTTACTGTGGCTTCCAAGACCTTATAGTTAACATGCTGTACCTACAATTATTAGAAACCTGATTACCTACTTTGATGGGGTGTATACCTAGGTAGCTACTTTGTATTCTCGGTTAATTGCTGGTGATTCTTCGTATAATAATGTAAGCAATAACATCTTCCTCTTGTTTTGGTTCTACACTTCAAAAAGGTGTGCAAGCAGCAAAGATTGAAATGTCAAACTATAATTTTAAATGTGAACATTGTGATTACGCAAAATAGTGTGAAACATTTCTACAAGTCCGAAAATGAGAAAAAACGAACGTGGATGGTCCAATCCTTCATGGGGCCACACCAGATAGACGCTTTGTATCAAACAGATTACTGTTTCTTACACATCAGTTTCAAATAAGTACAGTTTGACAGATGTGTACAATAAAGTAAAGTTTGACAGAAGCGTACAATAAAGTGAAACTTTATGGCCGCAAAAGCGACCACAAAATCAACGTTTTTGTGATGATAGCCTAAAAACTATTTTTTGATATCTTTGAAAATAAATGAACGCCAGCTCATTTTTTAAAATGACATTTTTCGGTTTTTCGAGCATAAGTTCGTTGTTTGTAGAGCTACAAGAAACTGAAAGTGAAACTTAATTTATCGGTCAGTCGGCTGCAAAGGTTTTTTAAGTATAACCCAAGAGTAAACTCTCTGGTATAACTGTCGAAGGAATTCATTGTAGCATGCTCGGGTTTGAAGCTTTGTGTCGCAATCTTTGCATGCATATTATATTTTAGCACAAAACGTTTCCCTCATAATGAAACTGTAGCATAAAGTGAGTTTGCTAATAAAACCTCGATCCGTCGCACAAAAACGCTCTTAAGTAGCTCGACACATCGAGTAGGTACTTTCCAAATTGTTTAAAATGTGATGATACAACATAACTTCAATTTTCTTCTCTTAATTGCCTACTTCACATCAGTAAAAGTGATAAATAGAGGTGCTCCTTCAGAAGCAAAACAATCTCGTGACAGACATGAAACTTACCCATCAAAGTTACTAGTCCATAAAACCATTCCTTAAGAGATTCATTAAAGTCTCTGCTAAATAAATCGGCAAAAATCATTACAGGGTATACAATAAAAACGAATAACAGAACTATCCTGGAGTATATTTTGTACGGCAAACTTTCTTGTGCATCTAAAGAAATACCGCCGATCTTAAAAAACAGCCTCTCTCTACGAAAATACTTAATCTTATTCTGATCAGCCATCCTCGACGGTTTATCCACTTATAAGTTATAACTGTCCGCATTCGTTATATGAAGATAGTAGATGGCGCTGTGTTTGAAGATAAGCACACACAGGAAAAATATAAAACGGCACCAAATTATTGTAAAGTAGAAATATGCAGCACTGGGAACAGAAATAAATCAAACGATTTCACGCTTGGATCTTTGGCATTAACCTCTAATGACATTTCGACACTTTAGTTGGGAACAGAAACTACCAGCTTAGTAAATTCGTCACGCGTTTTATTTTTCAGCGTAATACTGACTTGTGTTTTAACCAATTCCAGTGAAGCTTCCCTATGCTTTCTACCTTTTTAAAATGAATACAGTATAGGTACGATTCGTTGTCAATATGCAATGTAATATAGATGCACCCCTATTACGTTTGGAAATGAAAATGCTGAACAGAAATTAGCCGTTCAAATATTAACATGTTCCCTACCTACTCCATGGCGTTCATTGTCGTATTTTGTATTATTTAGGAGATCAACTGTATTGTCGATACATGAAACAGGTTGTCACGGATAGGGGGCACCGGGCACTGTAATTGTGTTGTGGGTAAGAGTATGTGAATCTCAAGCCGGATCCACATGAAACGTGGTTCACGGACGCGTTGTTACCACGTGACCGTTAAAAACCAATGAAGATCGTTCAATCTCAATAATCTCATAACTCATTGGTTTTTAACGGTCACGTGGTAACAACGCATCCGTGAATCACGTACTTAGACCATATAGTACATGGAGTGCTATTAGCCCTATGCTTTCAATACAAAATGGGTGGTCACGGATAGAGGGCACTGTAGTCGTGGGTATGTGAATCTCAGGGTAAACTAAAGTCGTATGAACACCACTCGTATTGCGTAAAGAGTAGCTTTTATGGTAACCGCGTAGTACGGGAAGCTTTAATTACCTTGATTATCTTTTATCCATGTACCTACTATATGGTCTAAGATCACGTATCATGTGCAGGGTAAATTAAAGTCGAGTAAACACCACTTGGATCGCGTACAGAGCAGCTTCTATAGCAACCGAGTAGTACGGGAAGCTTTGCACAAATAAGAATAGGTTTGCTTTTATGGCATTTCTATAAGCGATTAATTAACTGACGTCTGTTAAATTAAACTTTGATAGTCTCAAATCGTGTCTGATCGGACAACTTCAGAGAGATTCGTTTACCTTGAAACTACCATACCCAAGCGATGTCCTTCACTATATTTTAGTTGCAAATAGCAGTCCATGTACTGTATAGTCTAAGCAGCACATGGACTGCTAATTGGAAATAAAATATGGTCAAGGACATCGCCTGGGCATGTAAGCTCCAGGGTAAACAAGTCTGTCCGAAGTTGTCCGATGAAACACGATGAGACGATCAAAGTTTAAATTAACAAACGTCAATTAATTAATCACTTAGATATGCAGTGGCGTAGCTAGAGTCATCTGCGCCCGGGGACACGACACAAAGTCTGTGCCCCTTGTCGGACCGACAGAATTTGGGGGCACACTGAACCCCCAAGAAAATTTTGAGATTATACGGTTTATATGGTTCATTTTCGAAGCATCTGGTATTGTAATGAAATAGAATACAGACTAATAATTCTCAATACGATTGTAAACCGTTTATTTGGGAAAAAAATACTGTTCTAATTAATAATTATACATGACTGGCATAGACATAAATCTACAACAAATTGATCCTCCTTGATTTGACTGTCGCAAACTAGTCAATCACGTTTTTAATACTCATTTTGGCGCCCCCTAACGTTGCGCCCGGGGGCATGTGTCCCTCCCTGCCCCGAATAAATAGAATTTAAAAAGCAAAGCAGATTAGTAATCACGATTAAACTGGCTTTCAATTAATGTGCCATTTGCCATAGGATTCCATTTAAAATTTTAGGGGTTAAGCTCCCTACGTAGAGGAATGGTAGAGGGGTGAAGGCTTGGGTTCGTGATTTGTATTCCAAAAGTTGTCCCCCTCGAATACAAAATTGACGTGTTCGAGGATTTTTCGAAATTTCTAAATTTAATACCCTAAAAGCCCTCTGTATACTTCTCGTTGGGCCACTCTGTATATATGATAGCATCCCAAAACAGTCAAACTTTTCGTTTTCACCCTGCATCTTAGAAACAAAAATAGCTAGATTGATTCTGTTTGTGGTATTAAAAGTTTCACAAAAAAAAGTGGTACCTACGCGGTCGCGGTAGCGGTAGCGGTGGCGAACGTGAGGCCGCACACTAGGGCGTTCAATCCGCGAGATCAGATGTTTTTTTACCCAGACTGCCAATTGATTGTTGAGCGTATGGTTGACTTTAATGGACAACATTCCCCCTGCGACCATATCTTATGCGCCCTTTTCCTCACAGACAATCCAGAACGGATGAACGGAAAGAAAAATTTAATAAGAGGTTATGTAGAGGACGGCGTGTAGTTGAGAACGCTTTTGGCATAATGGCACAAAAATGGCGAATACTCCAGAGGCCAATAGAACTACAGGTGCTTAACACCATCTGTATCGTGAAAGCGATCGTCGTATTGCACAATTATCTTCGTTCAAAAGCTGGAGAAAATCAGTATATGGCTTTGTTGGATGACAAGCAGCCTGTCGTTTTGGGTGCTTTCGAGAATTTTCCCGTGGATGTTCGCCGAGGAACAAATATCGCATTTGAAGTACGGCATAGATTTGTTTCTTTTTTTAATGCCTAACAATGTACTAAAACTATAAACAAATACACTTACCTTCACCAGGTTTGTCCAGTATCATGGCCAATTCATCCCATACCTTATCTTTTTTTTTATACAGAGTGGCCCAACGAGAAGTATACAGAGGGCTTTTAGGGTATTAAATTTAGAAATTTCGAAAAATCCTCCAACACGTCAATTTTTTATTAGAGGGAGGCAACTTTTGGAATACAAATCATGAACCCAAGTCTTCACCCCTAAAATTTTAAATGGAATCCTATGGCAAATGGCACATTATTTGAAAGCCAATTTAATCGTGATTACTAATCTGCTTTGCTTTTTAAATTCTATTGATTCGTTTCGGAGATATTCGCATTTTTTTCCCTGATTTAAGTCCTTTAGATTACTTCTTGTGGGGATATTTAAAGAATAAAGTTTATGCTACTCCGCCCGGAACATTACAAGGGTTGCGAGCACGTATAACCATAGTGTAAGGAATAGAATACACTATGGTATAACTCAACAATTTCGAGCGATTACCCCTGAAATCTTGCAATATGTACGGCAGCATTTTGAAGCAAATCTTTATTATTGCATGGAAGCAGGCGGAAGGCAATTCGAGCATTTATTGAAATAAATGTTGTCTGTTTAAAGTTATTTGTTATTTTTTGCACAATTTAAACCTTGTATTAAAATTTAAAAATTTTAATACAAGGTGACTTAGATCGCATTTGTTTTGGTTTTTTTAGAAACCATTTCAATGTCGATAGAGTGAAATAAATGATTGTGCATTTTCCTGCTAAATAGATCGGCAAAATTCATTACAGGGTATATAATGAAAACGAATAGCATAATTATCCTGGAGTATATTTTGTACAGCAAGCTTTCGTGCGCCTCTAATGAAATACCGCCGATCTTAAAAAACAGCCTCTCTCTACGAAAATACTTAATCTTATTATGGCTAGTCATATTCGACGATTTATCCGCTTATAACTAACATTAGCTGTCAATATGAAACGCATTATAGATACGCCCCTATTACGTTTCGAAATAAAAACGCTGAATAGAAATTAGGCATTCAAATATTAAACTGTTTCCTACCTAGGTACCCCATAGCGTTCATTTTCGTACTTTATATTATTTAGTAGATTAACTGTATTGTCGATAGGTAAAATTACACTTATTAAAACCAGAAGGACGCCTTCAATTTTCAAATATGGAAACCGTACCTATACATTTCTAATTTAAGTGAATATTTTCGAATCTTTCTGATAGGTGATTAATAAATATCGTCAATAATGTTTGCTTATTTGCTAATGGATATATTAAAAAGTTTCATTCTTTCGATATATCACTACATAATTTGATACATTGGAATATTGAAGGATCCTCAATACTCAAGTCACTATTGTAACGACCATTTATTTTAATCTTGCAACATACAAAAGTCAACAAAACGCCTCAAATTTATGTCACGGGCATTGAGATAATGCTCATGATCTTTGTGCAAGAATAACGATTTTGACTAGTTTTAATCAAAATCCATATGGTCAACAAAAATGCACCAAATTCATATCCTGGGTATTGAGATAATGCTCTTAGTCCGTTTCCCGACGATCTTGGTGCATCAATAACGATTTTGACATGTTTTGATCAAAATACATGTGGCCTCAGAAAAAGAATTTAACAACTTTGAACCACACACACATGCTTTTAATGCGTTTGAAATTGTTTACCGAACCTGATGGTGACTTTGCTGAATTAATTGAAAGTACGACAATAGCTTTAGTTTGCGACAATGATGCATTTTATTTTGTTTGATGCATAAAACAATAGATAGATACAGAGCACGAGCAACAACGCGCCATAAGTCTATGAAATATTAGTCACCGGCGATAAGGAACGAAAGCAAATGCGACGCGTTCTTTCTATGAAATGTGATATGCTGACTATATAAACCAACCGAATCGTGTGTAATGGAAGTTCCAATGTCGACCCCGAATTGATGAGTAGTGTTTAGCAGTCGTTTGTTATAAATTTGAGGACAAGTCAGTGATACTATAGTAGGTATATATAGGTAGTTTTTCATGATCTATCGAAAGATAATATTACTTATCATGATCGTTTCACTTCCGGCTATACCGGATAACAACTGTTTAATTTCAAATAGCACACCCTGTACCTATTTTATTGAATTTTAGAAATTTACATGAAAGTCTACGTCGCTTGATACCCTATACCCAGCATCAAATGTTTTCAAGTGTAACGAGTGGTTTGATTTCGCGCCAAATTTCATTAAAAATTTCGAAATTTCTTGTCATGATAGTGAAGGTC